ATATATATATATATATATATATATATATATATATATATATATATATATATATATATATATATATGTACGTATGTACGTATGTACGTATGTATGTATGTGTATATATATATGTATATATATATATATATATATATATATATATATATTCATATATCATATATAATTCATATATATAATTTATATATTTTAGTATTTTAGACTTTCGTAGTGTTATCCAATATGTCGCTTGTTTTCGGAGTTTGGACCGCATTTTTCTTGTATTTAGTTCCAATGTTTCGTAAACATTTTGGTTCACTTCTTCAGAGAGCACAGCAATTTGTCCCTGAAGAAATGAACCGAAATGTTCACGAAACGTCGGAACCAAATATAAGGAAGACGCGGTCCAAACCCGGAAAACAAGCGAAGTAAATTATGTATTCTTTCCATATGTCTCTCATCCCCATACAATTAAATATTTTTTACATATAATCTAAACACAGTACAACAATTGAACTGCGCATCTCTCTACTGTAATTAAATCAATTCGATGAATTCATCGACCTCGAAACACAATAACATTCACTTCGACGTAACTTTGCTGATCGAAATTTTTAATGTAATAAGCTATAAAATAAAATTATCACACACCGTAAGGTAAATGTACCAATGCCCGAACATGTATCAATCTCCGGACATTGTTATTATTTTTATATTTGTATATGAATATTTCAACTTTCAATGTACAATACATACATATTGGTATATATACATTTAATATTTATATTTAGTGTACGTTAAAAGATGAAATAGGTATTTAGAGAAATATTCAAAATAATAAGAGTGTCCGGAATTAGGTACATATCCGGACATTAAGACATTTACCTTATATAGTTTCTTTTTCTACGTAATCTTCCTATTTCACGCGATGTCTATTTCCTGTACTGTTAGTCAAATTATATTTATAAAACTTTTCTCTACTAAAGATAATACGATAATCTTATTAATCTTTTTTTTTAATAATCAAAGGACATTACTTTCAGGTGATCCGCGATGCTTTGCAGGGATATAAACAAATTGAAACAAAGGCTGGCAATTGGGACTTAGTGACGCAGTACGATAAAAAGATCGAAGCAATTCGAATCGACAATCTGTCGAAGCAATTCCCAACGCACAAGTGAGTTTCCAAATCAAGAAAGGATACAATACAGACATTTATCGGTAATTATGCATTTTAACGGAGCAACCTCCAATGACCTTGATCTTGACATATGTTATAGAGGTCACCCTCCTGAGTAACCCTCAAAAAGTTTTAGGCGGCTTGTTTCTTAAAAAATTATTAACAAAAGAAATTGCATAAATGAATGTAATTTTTGGGCACCGTATATACAAAAACAATGAATTTGTAAGCTAAGATGCTTGCTACACACACACAAACACACACACACACACACGCAGCGCGCACGCGCACACATATGCACACACACACGCACACACACACACACACACTGCTCGTGAGCAAGCGAAAAATATCGATTGACGAGCGGGGGGCTGTGTCCCTCGCATCCCCCCCCCCTAAAAACTAACTTAACCCAACCTATCGTCACATTATCTGTCAGTCAGTGTTTATTAAAGTGTCCAACTTTTTTTCTTAATAATTTTTTAATAAACAATGACTGACAGCTAATGTAACGATAGGTTGGGTTAGGTTAGTTTTTAGGAGGAGTGCAGGAGGCGCAACCCCCGCTCGTCGTTCAATATTTTTCTCGTGTTACAAAACGTTAAAAATGTTAAAAATATTCTTAATTTAAATATTTTTATGGTAATTGTGAAGGAAAGACCCACTCTCATCGATTTTGTTAAAATTTAGTAAGATAGTGTATTTTGAAGCATAAAAACCGAATCTAAAAACTTTTGTGAGAAATTCACTCTTTAGCTTAAGAACAAGAGACCGCGATTCTCACCCCGCTGCGTGCGGGGAGTCTGGGGAGCGAAGCCCTCCAGTCACACAGCTAGAGATAAACGGTATGACAGATTTTCTAACCTAACGCGCCTTTAACTTTATCTTTTAATATCTCGCTTCGCAGTAAAAAGCGACGATTTTGTCAAAGGAAAAAGTTGTTTCTCGTGCAAAAACGTGTCAATTAAGCCTATTTTTATCGAAATCGGAGGTGAGGTCACTAAACTGAATAATTACCAACTTCTTTTGTTAATAATTTTTTAAGAAACAACGAGCACTGCCTAACATTTTTTTAAGGTTACTCAGGAGGATGATCTCTATAACGTATGTAAAGATCAAGGTCATTGGAAGTTGCTCCGTTAAAATGCATAATTACCCATTTATCTTATTAGTTGGATTATCTAGGAAATCGGAATATAATTAAAAATTTCATTAATCTATAGGATGACAATTAAAAGTAAAATACTCGTATACATGTAGAACAAATCAAACTGAACAAGGAAATCTTCTACTTTCACAAATTTCACAATAATGATTAAGAAATTAAACAGGAAATAAGGCCAGTATAAGCCAAAATTCAGATATTATATTACTACAAGATAAATAAACAAAATTAAGTTTCGGTTTTATAGTGTGTGTGTGTGCTTGTGCGTGTGCGTGCGTGCGTGCGTGCGTGCGTGCGTGCGTGCGTGCGTGCGTGCGTGCGTGCGTGCGTGCGTGCG